TTACCATTTTTGACATTTATTAATTCCAAGACAAGTTGCATAAGCCGAACTGTCCTGGTTTACTAAGAACTGCAAGTGCAAATATTCCAATGAAAATTGGTTATTAAACATTTAACAATTTAGCTGTTGTTGAAGGTTTCATTAAAAAAATATACCAGATAGGTAAAACAAGATATTGTATCAGTTATGCTTGTATTTTAAGGTTGCAGATTTAACTGAACAGCTAGCTTCTAAAACAGATGCTGATGATGCTATTATGGTTGCCGTTGACAACAAGATTGAGGAATGGAAGGTAACCAGATTTATTCTTTACTTTTCTTCCAGCAAAAGTATCCTTTAAAAATCTTTAATTCAAAGGAAATAATTTACCAAATTTGTATTTGACCATAACTAAAAGGGCTGTTTTTATACCATATAATTTTTCCTTTTTGTTGCAAAAATTTGCTCCTACATACTTGCATGTTTTTTTCTCAGCATTTTAGGTCTAAAGTCCAATATCTTTCAGTTAATTAGATAAAGTCACTGCTCTGCTACCCAGATTAAGCAGAAAATTCTTGCAACATGATTTTTAAAAATATGTAAAATTTCAACTTTTTCAATTTCTTAATTCCTTTGTTTTTTTTGTATAATTGGCACATACCTGTATTTTTTATAGATAATCCTTCAAGACAAGGATCAGACCATCATAGATCAGCAGGAAGAAGTGTTTCGTCTCCGTGAGCAGCTGATAGCAGCTAACATGGACAGTGACAAGGCGTCAGTGGCCGCACTCTCGAAGGTCATCAAGGAGAAAGATCGGCAGATAGAGGAGTTGACGGAACAGATGAAAGTTTACGCTGATGATCTGGACAATAATGCAGCAGTCATTGAAGACCTTCGTTCAGAATTACACAGAAGTAATGAACTTTTCCTCTCATTTCTATATTGAGATATTTGTATGGTATTGTTTAGGCTCAAATCAGGCATTTTATAATTATTTTTTTCAATATATTCCGAGTCATTGTAAAGTAACACTGATCTGAAGTAAATGAATAAGGTTAAACTAATAATAATTTGTCTCCAAGTATTTAGAACACAATTTTACAAACTGACCAAATAAACATCAAAGTTTTAGCTTGAATTTTCTTGTTATTTTATATATTTTCAATTCATCAATTTAAGAATAAACAATAATTGTTGACTTTTGAAAGAGTGTTTTATTAACAAATTCATTATTTGATTGTATCTTTAAAGCTACCGGTATGTATTTGATTTGACAACCAGTTAAACATGTTTTAGAAGAAATGGAATCATTTACATACAGTACAAACTGTGCACAGCAACACTCTATTTGGAGAGAAATATTTTGGTTGTTGCTAAAAGGCTGTTTTCTCTAGAGAGGTTAACTTCATTGTGAATTCCTGTATCAGGAAGAGTTGATGCAGTTGTTGTAAAGAGGTGATTGCTGTACAGAGGGTCACTCTGTGTACAGGTTGTGCTGTATGTAGTATTTTGTATTTAGGATATTTTTTCTCTGCTGCTGTGATATATGAATAAGGGAGAGATAATTAATTAATGTTTTGTCATTTTTTTCAACAGCTGGACAAGGTCCGGGTGAAAGACAACAAATCATTATCCGGGAATTGAAAGAAAAACTGAAAGCTGAACAAGACAGAAATAAAGATGCTGACAGAGATATTAAGCTGGTATGTTCTCATTATATTAATTAGAGGATAGACAAACTTTATTTTGGTCCAATCAGGCAAGGTTACATGGTCCAATATAAACAGGTTTAAGTTAATATAACCTGGGCTATTAGGCAAGGTTAAATGGTCCCGTATAAACAGGTTTAAAATAATATAACTTGGGATATTAGGCAAGGTTAAATGGTCTGGTATAAACAGGTTTAAGTTTATATAACTTGGTCTATTAGGCAAGGTTAAATGGTCTGGTATAAACAGGTTTAAGTTATATAACCTGGGCTATTAGGCAAGGTTAAATGGTCCAGTATAAACAGGTTTAAGTTATATAACCTGGGCTATTAGGCAAGGTTAAATGGTCTGGTATAAACAGGTTTAAGTTATATAACCTGGGCTATTAGGCAAGGTTAAATGGTCCGGTATAAACAGGTTTAAGTTTATATAACCTGAGCAATTAGGAAAGGTTATAAGGTCCAATATAAACAGGATTAAGTTTATTTAACCTGAGCTATTATGCAAGGTTATATGGCCTGGTATAAGTTGTTTCAAGTTTATATAAAATTAGCTATTAAAGGTTATATGGCTAAATATAAGCTGTTTGAAGCTTACATACCTAAAGCAGCTAGGTTATAGTGTGTATACATAAACATATAACCTGTATTCAAGTTTGTATTATAGTTTTATTGCTTTCAGTAAGGTTTAACTCATAAATTTTCAACTGTTGATTATATAAATAATATATTCAACACATTTATCCAATGAAAATTATTGCTACCAACATTCATTAATTTGTAAATTGAAAATCATATGACATTTGTAAATTGTATGGCAATTGTATTGTATGACTTTTTATTTACAACATTTGTGTTGTACAACATTTGTATTGTTTGACATTTTATTGTACAGAATATGTGAACGACATTTGTATTGTACAACATATGTGTTATATGACATATGTATTGTATGACATTGGTATTGTATGACATTCGCAGTGTATAATATTTGTATTAAATGGTATCTGTATTGTATGACATTTGTATTGTATGTCATTAGTATGGCATGACATTTCTATTGTACAACATTTATATAAGACATTTGTAGTGTATGACATTTGTATTGTATGACATTTCTATTGTACAACATTTGTATAAGACATGTATTGTAAGACATTTGTATTATACGACATTGGTATAGTATGACATTTGTATTATATGACATTTGTATTGTAGGACAATTGTATAGTATGACATTTGTATTGTCTTACATTTGCATTATATGACATTTTGTATTGTATGATGTTTTGTATTGTATGATGTTTTGTATTGTATGACATTTGTATTGTTGTTTCCCAGGCTGAACAAGATGCCAGTGAGAAGGATAAGGACCTAAATGAGGCCCTGGAGAGGATGAGACAATATGAAGCTGTAAGTCTTTATTCTGTAAAAAAAACTACAAAGAAAAGAAGTTTATAGGACCCATTTTCATTATCATTAAAAGTCTGAAAAATTATTACCTTGATTTCAAAGTGGTAAATACTATTTTTTGTTATGCTTTGTTCAATTGTAAAGTAGTTATGTTGACAAAACTTTCTGTAGTAGTGTTATTTACATTTTTGTAAAGTTTTATAATAAAATCTGTCCATAACTTATGAAGTAAATGTGAAGAGAATGAAGAGCATTTTATATGTTAAATGCATGGATCAAGACTTATACTTACTTTGATATTACATTAACTTGTATTTAATTTCATGCCATCATAGATGATTTTTGCCTTTTCATTCTTAAAGATTATTCATGAAAAAATACAGGAAATCTTATTCATACATAGATCATCAACTTCATCTTCAGATGATTAACATTGAATGATTATAAAATTTCATTTTAACACTGATTAAATAGGTAATAAATCACAAAGTTAAGAAATACTGTTTTCTGTATTTAGGGAGAATATGGTCTAGCAGAGGCTGTAGCTGAAATCAAAGATGTGAAGAAACAGATCAAAGTTAGAGACAGGTATGGTAATGTTTAATGAATGCAAATGTTACATTATAGTAGACATATTTTTATATTGAAGTTATACGTTTAACTTTGAATTTGTTTCCAGTATTAAAATGGAATGTATTTTACTGTAAACACTTAACATTTTATCATGTTCAGGAATGTCATTAAGAGGTGACTTGAGGCCAGAATGACTTTCTCAATGCATTTTGGGCTATTTCAAACAAAAATACTTTAATGAAAAACATCAGTTCACTAGCTAAATGCAGATTTTTAAAAAAAAAAAAAAAAAGTATTTTTATAGAAATTATATTTTGACAAATTTTGCTTAAATCAATGCCAAAAAAACTACATAGCTCCTGACAAAAATACTGTATTCTACTGAATAATTAAAAGTGTGGTTTTATTAAATGGTATTACTACTGTTTACTATTGAAAAATATGACTTTATAGTCTACAATTTCATATTGTTGAACACTGCATTAAAAAAAGGTACTGAAAAGAAGAAATTACTGGCAAAAACGATGCTAAATGCACAAATGCTAAAAAGTAACCATTATAATCTGATATTTTTAAAGGCAAATTGAGGAGCTGACCCAGCATATAAACAAGACAGAGTTAACAATCAACGACCTCTGTGACGAGAATGAAGACCTCCGCGGCAGACTCGGGCTTGACCCTCGTAAACCTCTGGATCTCACAAAATACAGGTCGGATAAAAAAGTCAGGATGGAGGAGGAGAAGGCCATGAACTATATACTACAGAAAGAGGTTAGCAATATTTTAGCCACGTCACAGCAAAACCAACATAGTGCGTTTGCGACCTGCATTAATCCAGACCAGCCTGAGCATCCGCGCAGTCTGATCAGAATCCATGCTGTTCGCTATCAGTTTCTCTACTTGTAATAGAGTTGGTAAGCGAACAGCATGGATCCTGATCAGACTGTGCAGATGGGCAGGCTGGTCTGGATCCATGCTGGTCGCAAACGCATTATGTTGGTTTTGTCGTGAAGCGGCTCAAATGTCTTACAGGCACATTAAGCCTCAGAAATGGATATATTTTTGCTCTTTTTTTGCTCCTTAGAAAGGGTAGATATGGGTTTTATAATGTTTAAATAATGGATTTAGAGCATGTAAGTTGCTTACTACCTGAAGAAAGTAGCACTGAATGTGAAATGATTTGCCTTAAAGGTAGAGAAATGTAAACAAAGTGATATTTGTACTTCCATATGAAATACTAAATCATTATATAGAATGTGCTAATTGCCAAATAGTAACAGATCATGTATTTGGCTCATAAGGCACTTTTTGGAAACTAAAATATGATACCAATAATGAAAAGTTCTTGAGAAAATAAAACAAAAGGATTTCTGGGTTTAATATTATATAATACAGGATCTGATTGTACATATGTCATTGTATTTGTTATCATCATATGCTAGATAGTTAGCATGACTGGTCATTTGAACAGTTTCTTATATTAAGTAAAAGGTCTATTCTACTTGGCTAAACTATATTGTTACAGGTCAACTTAGTAGACCTTAAATTAAGCTATGGTCATTATGAGCTTAATAATATTATATTATCTTGAAAGTACCGACAGGTTTCTTTAACCTTGGTGGTTATATTGATTGCCTTTGTTACTAGTTTAGAGTCAGGTCTGCCTGCTCACCCATGCAATTTGTTTTACTCCATAATAAACTACGAAATTTCTTCTGAAAGACATTTTTGGGGGAAGATTTTTCACAATTGAAATAGTTATTCTGGGAAAAAGGAGTAAGCAGATGATTCTGAAATTTTGCACATAAGTTATTAGTCCTGAATTTTATTAAATGGTACTGGAGTCTGGAAAAAAGTTTTATAATCTAGTAATATCATGAGTCCTCAGAGGAGTCCCATTAATGTAAAGGTTATAACATCATGTTTAAAATGTTTTCCATTTTTTTAGGTTGAGAAATTAGAGGATGAAAGAATTGAGCTGAAACAGAAAATTAGAAAGATGGCACAACACCTGGGACAGAGGTAATGATTTCTTAGTCATGTCCCCTTTCATGATTAGTGTGCATGTTGACTTACAAGAATCCACACTGATAGCTTACTAAAATTTTCTTATAAAAATTCCTCACAGTAACAAATGAGCCGCGTCACGACAAAACCAACATAATGGGTTTGCGACCAGTAAGTCTGCGCAGTCTGATCAGGATCCATGCTGTTCGCTTACCAACCCTATAACAAGTAGAGAAACTGATAGCGAACAGCATGGATCCTGATCAGACTGCGCGGATTGGCAGGCTGGTCTGGATCCATGCTGGTCGCAAACCCATTATGTTGGTTTTGTCATGACACGGCTCAAATGATGGTTTCAATTGAAAGCAAGAAAAATCCAAAAGCAAATTCAGCAGGATAAAGGTTGATCAATTATGTGTGACATATACGTGGTTTTATACTTACATCACACCAGTGCGTCCTCTGATGATGCAAATAATTGTTAATTTATGTAGCAATCTCAAAATTGTTTATAATAATGATATATTATGTTAAAGACTTTCGTATGGTCAAAACTAATAGAATCATGTAATAAATACAGTTGTCTCTCAATAAGTCAAAATCGCTTTACTCAAAATTCCGCCTTAGTCGAATAATTTCTAAAGTCCCGTCAAATTTTCTTCTTAATCTTTGTATTTTAACTCCGCTTAGGTCAAATTTTGACTTGCCGAGACTCCTGTTTAGTCGAAAAGAAAAATTTGGTCCCTCAATTAAAGTCCAACATATTTACATCTCAATAAGTCGAAGTGTGAAAACAACCGTCTGATCAAAGGTTGGCAACATCAAGGTGAGATGTTGTCACTCATGATTTACACGTTTCATAGTAATTTTTAATTGCCGGTCATCATGTATTATTAACACGTCGTAAAAGTGGCTTTAATCCGTTTCAGGACCTAATTGGTTTTAACAGTTAGATAACTAAATTAAAATTTAATTACATTTCTTAAAGAAAGTTGACTCATGCCAGTCTGACGGGTGTTAGTCAAATAACAGCCTAGGTATTGATGTGTGTTATCAACGTAAAGGACATTTGTTTAATTAATTATCTGTCATATTTGTACTTCTGGTTCAGGATAGTTACTAATTTCATTTTCGTCCGATGATGAATTAAATCAAATGTAATTGTGTGTTTCTGTTTCACTATTAATATACATGTATTAAATTTTGAATGATATATTTTGTTCATTAATAATTTGCAGTTGTAAGTGATTTACCGTCATTTCAATGGTAAAATATTGCAGCATTGCCACTAACAACAATAACAAACCTACTCCTTTGCACATTCAATCAGGCACATGTATATACATGTAATGGTGGTAGTTCCACATTACTCGAATTCTGTTTCTCTCGAAGTTAAATGCCCAGTCCCTTGGATTTCGAGTTACCGAGAGTCAACTGTACAGTAAACTTACTTGATTGATGTTCGCCATGTGTTCCTGCTAACTGTCCCATTTATTTAATTAAGATAATTGTGTCCGAATTGAGAGTAAATCTATTTTTGTTAACGTAAATCATTATCTAATATTGCTATTACTGTCCCCATATTTCAGAGCTGTAGCTCTAGGTCTCACAGCTGATGATATGATAGCTGTGCAGGATTTCACGGAGACACTGAAGGAGAAGAGGAAACCCGAGTCTGTGGCTACCATTATAAAACGAGAAGTTGCTATGGAGGAGAACAAGATGAGGGTAAGTTGTATAAGTCATGATATTATTTATAGCTCATTGATGAACACCAATGTCAAGGTTATGCACAGACAGATTATTTCTGTATGTCCAGTGGTATAAATATTTATAAACAGTGATCTTACACAACAAACAAAGGAGTATTAATTACTATAAATTTGTTGAAACAAAATTTCTAAAATGGTTGATAGTTGATACTTATATAGAATATAAGACTGAATGCTCCTCCCATTGGTCATAAGTGTTGGCATAGCAGTTCAGTTGTCTGCCTCCATGGAAAATGGGTTTGAGTCACTTTGGGATGGATCCCAGACATGTTTTTCGTTTATACTGCACAAGAACTTGATTATTTCCACGAAGCAGACTCAAAGGTGATGTGTCGAAGTTAAAAGCTAAAACCATGTTAAAAACTTAACATTGCTGAAATATTTAGCCTCTTAGTTCTCTACCAGTTGTTTAAGCTTATATTACAACAGATTTTCAATAATATTTGCAGAAGAATGAGTATGACCAAGATTTACGCGAGAATTTCCGAGAAATGGATCGTCTGTATAGTGATAACGCTCAGCTGAAGGCTCGCTCGGAACAACTTGAGGACGAGAACAAGAACCTCGAGGCTGGCCTCAAAGAGGTGATGGAGGCAGTGAAAAAGTATGGTATGAGGGCAACTGAAGATGGGGATGGGGAGGAGATGGAGAAAGGGCAGAGAGAAATACAAGAAATGCAATTTCCATCCATAGAGAGAATGTTGGCTGTAAGTAAACCATTCTCTTAAGTTTCCCAGAACATACTTAATAATTTTCTTTTGTCTATGTGAATGCATGCCCTTTTTGTTAAGATAACTTGAACTTTTTTCATGATATGAATCATGAATTCTCATTTTTATCATAAATGCATATTTATAAACTTAATAAAATAAAAAAGTTATCCAACATATGAAATAGTTTATTGGCATTTGTTCTCTGGTTTATGAATTATAACATTTTATGAGAGACACATCAAGCTCTTCCATTATTGTATAGAATGAATAAAGATATGCATGGTAAAATGATTTATCATTACAGGCTATTGAAGCCAAGTCTGTCATAGGCAGACATGACACTTCTTTGTTCTTGAAAGCTCAGATGGACAACTTACAGGGCAGGAATGACGAGTTACGTATGGTACTCAGAGAAACCAGGCACGAGTCTAACAAATATAATCTGGAACTAGAAAAAGCCATGGAAAAGGTTTGTTTTGACATTGTTTTGAGTGCTAGAAGTGAAAATAACAGACCAATACCAGCAGCATAGAACCAGATCATTTTTCACTTTACATACAGTCTGACTGGGCTCTACATTGTTGATATTGACATCTCCTTAAAAGATTTATGATTATAGGTTTAAATGAAATACAAGAAATGTAAAAATCAGACTTTTTATGTTGTATCAGTTGGAAAACATACTTTTGTAGAAAAGTTTATATGACCCTAGGTGCATCGATATTCAAAACTTCTCTTGATATTCACTTGAAAATAACTTGTAACTTTGTTAATTATTTTGGATAAAATCTCCCTTTTTGTGAATTCCTACATTATCCAGACTCTTGTTTTACTATTAAGCACACAGAAAAGTTTTGTCCTCTCTTGTACTTGCAGCTCTTGTTCAATGTTTTTTTAATGTTGTACCATTGCTTTGTTACATATTACTGATTTTGTATGTTATATATGTATTATAGATAAAACAGATGGAGGAAGAATTAAAGACTGTGAAGGGCCCTGGTGGTGTGAGTGCCGGGTTCTTTAAACCTATGAACCTACCAGAAAACATGGCAACAACCAGTGCTGAAGTGATTGCAGGTCTTAATGAACACCTTGTCACTGTTTTACAGGTACAGATTTTTCATAACTTCAATTTATGTCTCAAGTCATTGAACTTTGTGTTCAAGGCAATAATACCATGAATGTGTGATCTGTATCAAGCTAAGTCAGCCTGCGTACATTGAATAGATAGGGGTTGTGCAGTGAATAAGTGGCTATATATCCAGGGGTTCACATGGAATAGAAAGGGGTTGCACTGTGAGTTAATGGTAACTCTCTTTGACTATACATTTGTATATCCAAAGATATTAAGTTTGATGATTGATCCCCATTTACTTCAACTGAATTTACTTAAAATACTGAGGTTGTGTGTTAATTGTATAGGTGAACTAGTGATCACTTGCCGCATGGGTTCAAACCATGTCCTGTGCAGCAAGAAACTACACTCTTTGCTCAGTACTGGTTTGTTCTAGAAAATGATTGGAAAGAGTGTCTATAAGCTTATAGCTTCCTACCCAATGGAACTAAAATAAATTTTGTATAAACCAAAAGAAACAGTTGTTCAGTTATTTTTTCATGAAATTGATAAATTTAATATTTCTGTTGGCTCCAAAATAAATAACTATTAGTCTTCCGGAGTTAGATACCCAAATTTACTTCTGCTGTCATCTTTAATTAAATATCCATCACAGGTACATAAGGTATAAGAATTTCATAAAGAAAATTAGCATTTTTAAATCTGAATACTAGTGTAGATAATGACTTTCCAATCTTATTTGTATACAGTCAGACCAATTTGAACATTCATGGAATCTGTCTGGACCCTATATTGTAGGCTTTTCACTGTTATTATTTAATACTGAAACTCCTTCAGATGTTAATGAAATGTTCCAAATTCACAGCAGGGTATTTCCATTACACAAGTTTATGGGTGTTATGATTTATATTTTATAGGAGTTACATGTGAAAGAGGAGTTGTTGAACAAGACAGAGGGTAAACTAGAGGACTACAAGAGGAAGTTTGCCGTAGTAAGACATCAACAAGGTCTTCTATACCATGATTATCTTAAAGATAAAAAGGTAATAAATTTTAAATTTTCTTCCTGCTTTTATGTGGTTGTTATTGCCATATATGTTTGTTTGTAATAGATCATACAGTATCTACATGTATGTGGATAATTTGGAAATAGTTCGCTTGTTGCCCGCCCAGTTGTTGAATAACTGAATGGTACCGCAACTTTTTAGTTTGATGGTTTTGTTTCATTACACAGTTTGAGTCTACTACAAGAAATATACTTGTTTTACATAATTATGTTAATTGACCTGTAATAGAAATAGAAATGTCTTCGCAGTCATTGTCTGCACCTGGTTACATTGTTATTTATTGGCTGTCTTTTAATATACATGTAAAGTGCGTGCAATGCTCCTGGAATCAAGTAAATAATGTTGAAATCACTTGACTAAGTCATGTGTTAAAAAAAAAAGAAGACATGTGTGTCGTTTGTTGCAAGCGATGATATTTATATAATAGTTATATAATATTTTATAGGTCTGGGAAGAAGAAGTGAAGAAATTGAAGGATGAACTGAAGAATGTAGAAGGTCACAGAGAAGAAGACAAAGTTCAAATTCTCGAGTTTGAAGTAAGTTTCATTTTTGCTGCAATTTTATGCAAGCTATGAAATTCGATACAAAATAAAATGATCATGATGCCAAATTTATACTTTACAAATTTTGTGCACATATGTCAGCTCAGTTGTCAAAATGTTATTTTACAAATGATTGTTGGGAACATCAAATATTCTCTTGAGATGTAAACTATATAGGTAAAATGTTATTCAGGTTTATTCTTCTTAATCACCTTCGAAATATCAACAATGGACCCAATAAAATAACATTTTCTAAAATTGCAGACTTTAGGGTTAAACTTAGTGTTTTTATTTCAGCGATTGGTTGATACCCTGAACCAGGATGATAGTGAGATTAAACGTAGATTATCAGATATGACACGACGTATCACCGTGTATCGGGTAAACGAAAAAGCTCTCACCAGGAGGTACCAAACTATGGAAGAGATGGACGGTCAGCAGAGAAAGGTAACTTATATACTTCATGACTTATATACTTCATAATTTATATACTTCATGACTTGTATACTTCATGATTTATATACTTCATAATTTATATACTTCATGACTTGTATACTTCAACTTCATGACTTGTATACTTCATGATTTATATTAGGGCTGGGAACGAATGAGGAATTCGATGTTCGAATATTCGTTTTCCATATTCGAATATATTCGAATATTCGTTTTTACAACTTTTGTTCCAATATTTCTCTTTCACGTATACGTATCCGAAATTGATTGTGTCGAATACTATAATAGTTTAATATGCTTGGAATAATCGACGATTAAAAAAAACCTTTATTACTATGTTAAAGTGTTTTATTTTATTTATTGTAAATCAATAAATATGTTTACTTTTGGAATAATTTTATAATTTGATTGTCCTTTGTTCAATTAATTCGACTACTGATCATTTGTCCTTGGGAGGTTACTCACCTGACTTGACTGACAATAACATGAATCATCGTAGCCTCTTTAGCCCCAATAACAGATAATTATATCGCAACTTAACTTGTATTAAATATTTTGCTTTTATTTATAATTATATACTTTAAGATAAGGTTTAAAATATTCTTCAGATGAATTTAGCTATAACGCAGTAAATATCACACGGAGTCTAATTTCTACGGAGTTAATATTTTCAGACCGAATATAGACACTTCCTATGCTTTTATTTTTATTTCTGATTTTAATCAGTATATTTAAGTTGTTTAACGATAGTCTCCTATATAGATTGCCCATGCTTTTTATTGCTGTATTTTATGTTTTGTACATTGTAAATATGCATGGATGAGACGTAAATAAATAAACAAATACAGTCGACTCTCGTTATCTCGAAGTCATTGGGACCGTCCAAAAGTATCGAGATAACGAAATGTCGAGATAAACATATTGGGGTTAGAACAAGGCGAAAGTGATTTTTACAAAAGACATGTGCATACCTTATGTCAAATAAACTATAATATCCCCATGTCTTGTTTTCATAGGCCTAGTCAATATTTAACAAAGTAACATTAGCGGATGTTTACCAGCGGAAATACGGGTGTCTGTGATAAAAACACATAGTGAGGTTTACTCAGTAATGCACCAATATAGTGAATCGGATATCGGATATGGATTGATACAGATTATTTATCGGATATTTCTCGAGATTGTTCCACCGCTGATTGATTTGATGGTGATGTTGTGAAACAATATTGCAACGATAGCGTTTCTATACTTTCACTATATCATTTACATTTAAAGTCATAATGAATTGATACAGTGTTCGAATATTTAAAAAGAATGTATAATTCACTCATTCAATTTGGACATAAGTCAATCAACACGCTAAATAGATTAACTTTTATAAAACAGCTAAACTTGTGACAAACATAATTGTCATTATGACACGCGCTATCAATTGAGCAATTATCGTCTAGATTGTGTTTTTCACACGTCTGAAGGGAACAGACGAAGTCGAGATAAACAAAGGATAATAGTGTGAAAATAACTGTTGGGGCTGAAATGTTACATCGAGATACTGAAAATATCGAAATAGAAATATCGAGATAAACAAATATTTCCAATAAAGATAAAGAAGGAAGAAAATCGGGACTTTCAAAATTTCATCGAGATAACGAAATATCGAGAAAAGCGATGTCGAGATAACGATAGTTGACTGTAATCTAAACTAAACTGCTTTCATAACGCACCGATTAATACGTGCCGATTTATTCTTCTTCACATGTAATTTAAGACAATTATTGATTGATCGGAAATTTTATAGCACATAAAACCATAAAGTAATATATTTAAAATCGGAAAAATTAGATTATGAACTGTTAAACAGGTAAATTGCAAACTGTGAAACGGGTGCTCTTTTGATCAACTATACCCCAAAGTTTTCACAGTTAGTTGGCGATACTCGTTGACACACAGCATACACACATATTATTAACACCTGTTCAAGTAAATGCCAAGGGATTAATTTACCATCTAAATTGAAATTTGAAAGTAATGAAAAAAAAACATTTTTTTTTCAAATATTCGTATTCGTTTTTCAATGTTCGAATATTCGGTAGTGTTTCAAATATTCGAATATAATTCCCGGCCCTAATTTATATACATCATGATTTATATACTTCATGATTTATATACTTCATGATTAATATACTTTATAATTTATATACTTCATGATTAATATACTTCTTGACTTATATACTTCATGATTTATGTACTTCATGATTTATATACTTTTGACATACATACTTCATGATTTACATACTTCATATACTTCATGATTTATATACTTCATGATTTATTTACTTCTTGACTTATATACTTCATGATTTATATACTTCATGATTTATATACTTCTTGACTTACATACTTCATGATTTACATACTTCATATACTTCATGATTTATATACTTCATGATTTATATACTTCTTGACCTATATACTTCATGATTTATATACTTCATGATTTATATACTTCATAATTAATATACTTTATAATTTATATACTTCATGATTTATATACTTCTTGACTTACATACTTAATGATTTATGTGTTTTATATACTTCATGACTTATATACTTCATGATTTATATACTTCATGGCTTATATTCTTTATGATTTATATACTTCATGATTACCCATTGCTTCACTGAATCTGAATAGGTACAGTACTTTGTAGCCTAGAATGTTGTAATTTTTTATGTAAGGAAATTTTTTTATGCTTCATGATTAGGTCCTGAAGTCTGTAAAATAAGAATTTTGTAATTCTTTATGTAAGGAAAACACTTCACCTGTTTTTATTGATATAGAAAATTTACATTTAGATTTTTTTTGTATATACTTGTTTGAATTATGTGTAAGATTAGATGTATTTCATTGTGTTTGATGTAAATGTGTTACATATTAAAATTTTATTTAAATATAAGTATTGACTCCTTATTACTGGTTTTTTACTTTTATTTTAGGAGATAAGTCGTTTAAAGAATGAGATGGTTGCCATGGAGCAGGCAGTAGTTGAAAGAATGGGTTATCTACAGAGATATAAGGTTACACTTGTCATTAAGTATTTCATGAAAATTTCATCAAATATTAACAATAATTACCCCAAGCTTTTCATTACCTAAATCGGGTTTCTTTAATGCCTATTTGATGAATAGAATATTTTTTAAAACAAGATTGTTTTAAATATAAATATTTGAGTTATAATTTTATTTTCTGAATAATACCTTTAATTTTCATTTACATTATTCCCTTATAGCCTAATGTTTTTCATCCCTTTAAATATTCATTTCTTATGTAGAGCTTATCCAAGGAGTTTTAGCACTTTTTTTATTGGTTAACACATGTCAATGTGGGCCATTTGACTATTTGTAATAACATTTTTTTTACCCTCATTCCAGGATATGGCAGCATTTAAGATGGCAGGTTTGCAGAAAGCCCTAGAAGACTCGGTTCCTTCCAGTGACCTTGACCATGCTAATAAAAAATACCACGAGTTGACAGAGAAATATCGAGATTTGTTGGAAAAGGGAAATAACCTAGTACTTAAAGCTGAGATGCTTACAGGTCTTGAGGTAAAGGATTTAACTCTATTGGTTGTAAAAAAAAGACAGGCTCTGGCTTATGACATTAATAGACAGTGATTTTTTCCCCCTATATTTTATAGACAAATAAAGGCTATTTCCCTCAGCCCAAAATAAGTATATTTTTCCCTAAAAATGCTATATTTACCCCTGAAATGCCCTGTGTACGTTCTAACTCACAACAAGTTGCTGGAATTTGATCGAAGGTTTTCCCCCTTTTTTAATTAATTGCGCCTTCAGAAAACTACAGGTTGTTTTGAAAATTGAAAAAAAAAATCACTGTAGAGCACAAAGTTATGCTTGACATAATAGAATTTATTTTGTCTTAGTACAGAGTGATTTCTCTAAATCTCCAAGGAAACAAATCCTATTTTGTTCATTATATAAAAAAACATTCCAGATTACTTAATTATAATTCATGTTTTACATTTCTTGTGACCTATTTATGAATATCTTTCCAGATTTATAAAAGAATGATGAATGAATCATTTTCAGTATACCTTGAAATGTTTTACAAAGATATGATCACACTGCTTTTCATTTTTCAATTCAACAAAAATTTACTTTTTTATTATTTTTCTTTTATTTTTGTACATTTTTACTTGTTTTTGAAAAATAAAAGTGTTTTGATAAAGTGTTTTGTCCACTCCAGGTTGAAGTTAAGAGAATGACTGTGGAGAATGAAGAAATAAAGAAGACAATGACTCTAGATAAAGAGAGACTACATACACTGGAAGCTGCCTTGAATGAGCTTCACAAGAGAGGTAATTATCATAGTCCTGCAATATGAGACCATTGTATCAGTTCCATTATGTGGGCATACTTACATCAACATCTGATTGAGATGTTGTATTAAGTATTTTTTCCCTTTTTTTTAAAAAAAAATAAAAGATACTTTGAAACAAGTAATAATTTAAATTAACTGTCTGCAAAATTATTTATTTTCCGAAGTTTTGTGGGTTTTTTTCCCCCAAGGAGCTTGCTGTTTATTGTTTACAAAAACATTATGTATTCTTTTTCCTTGAATTGAATAAATTATCTTTTGTTATATTGTATGAAAGTAAGCTTGAACTTAATCAAAGTACTTAAGCTTACCAAAGCTTAAAGGTTAAACAGTGTTTTGCTTTGATTTTCCATGAAAGTCATTTCCCATATTTATTATAGGTGTGACGGATGGGACAGAGATTAAAGGGATCACTGATGCCGATGTTATAACTACGTCAAAAAAGATAACTACGTTAGAGATGAAGGAGATGAATGAACGTCAACGAGCGGAACATGCCGTCAACATGTACGAGCAACAAAAATCTATACTCCACAGTCTTGAGAATAGGAACAAAGAACTTGAAGATAAATTTGCAGAGGTCAGCAATTTTTTCTTTATTTTTTCATTTTGTATAAAAATATACCTACTTTTTTTGCGTAACTGAATTATTTGATACTTTGGGTTGTTGACTTCAAACCACTTGCTCCTCAATGCTGTGGGTTCGAATCCAGACAGGGACCCTGAATTCTTTCTAGTGAGAAATCTATCCAGCTAGCTTAATCCGTGGTTCTACTAGGGTGCCTGGTGGTGCCTGAAATAATGTACAGAAGGGCACCAGTAAAGCTGAAAAGTCACTTTATGACCTATACTGTATTAGTGCAATCCAACTAAAACAAACAACAACAACAAAACAACAACAACAAAAACACTTTACTTATGAACATAGTAATTATAGGCTGTTTTTTACTCACAAAACATACTGCAATTTCTTCAGTCTTCATCAGCAGGAAATACAACATGTATATAGATATACTGACAATTATTTTCATGATTGATTTCAGATAACAAGATCAAATCTGGACCTTCAGAAGATTGAGAGAGATTTAAGAGATGAACTGTCAAGTAAGTTTGTGCTTCAGAAGAAATTGTACAGCACTGACATCAAACATTGTATTTTAAACTCTTCCATGCTAAATATCTTAAATGCACTTGTCTGTCAAACCGTTATCATTTTAAGGGTTAAATTTTCAAACTATGACTGAATAGTGAACAGTGCAGACCATGATCAGATGGCACAGATGTACTGGCTGATCTTGGTCTTAACTGGCTGCATGGGTTTATTTATTTGCAGGCAGCTGGCTAAGAGTAATAATGTACAAATATGTCATACTTTGATTGTCATTATGTTGAGATATGAATTTGCAAGACAGTTTATGGTTAGTGATTATTTCCACGTTCTTTAAGATATACCGAGAAACAAACATACATTTAAGTTTAATGGTTGAAATTGATAATTTTGAATTGTATATTCAGGTTTTTAATCTTTCTATCGATGTCTTCTTTAATGTGAGCAAGCCAACTGGGTAGATTTCTGTGTCATTAATCTGTTCTATATACACTGCAACTAAAGAATGAAAATATACATGTACATACATGTACGAAAGGATGCTTACAATGATACACTATTTCACACTTGCAGTAAGTAATGTTGATATTTTATGTTCTATAATTCACAGATTCAGTTACATGTGCAGTTAGTGATGCTGATATTCTATGTTCTATATTTCACAGATTCAGTTACACGTGCAGTTAGTGATGCTGATATTATGTTCTATATTTCACAGATTCAGTTACACGTGCAGTTAGTGATGCTGATATTATGTTCTATATTTCACAGATTCAGTTACACGTGCAGTCAGTGATGCTGATATTTTATGTTCTTTATTTCACAGATTCAGTTACACGTGCAGTCAGTGAAGCTGATATTTTATGTTTTATATTTTACAGATTCAGTTACACGTGCAATCAGTGAAGCTGACAGAAAGAAGATTGATCAACTTGATGAACAAATATTGAACTTAAAGCATGAAAACTCTAAACTTAAGGTAAGAAAGTATACTGAAATACTCTTAAAACTTGAGATAGAAAAACTACTGTTAGGTGTTGCAAGATACAAATTGTTTTCAGTTATAGAATAACAAATGCCCGGTTAACTTAATAGAAAGAGAGTTAGATCCACATTGCTTAGATTAACAAGTTTGTATGTTTGCAAGCTTAACCCAGTAGAGAAAGAATTTGATTAGTAATGGACCTTTCCGGTTTTTCATAGCGAAACATTTAGCCACACCTTTTCCATTCATTGCTAGGTCAACTGCTCACAACAGTATCACAAACAAAACCATGTGTTCTTTTGTGCAAACCAGGTCAACCAGTGACTATGTATTATCTCAGTGTAGCAATTGGATAACAAGTTAGCCAATTTACATAAATCTGTAAACACTTGGGAAAGGTCAATTCAGGGTTGTCTGGTTAGGCATTTTATTTCATGTTTTTCAGTGTTTTACTGTAATATATCAGATGATTATATTCTGATAAACCACTAGTAAAATTTATAAAATATAATTTTCACTATAGCCGGACTATGTCTGAATGCGGATGAACAGAAAATCATATCTACATGAAATAACAGGCAAAAATAAATGCTGTCATATGTAAATTTTTCTTCTTTAGGGGTCATCATTTATCATGTTAAAAATGTAACAAAATTAGAGAAATTGAACAGAACTATATTCCAAAATTGATGATGTGACGTCATGATGTTATGACGTCATAAAGTGGAAGCGCAAAGTTATGCGGCAAAATCAGTAAAAAAATACTTAATATCACTTTAAAAGCATAAAATAAAAGGAAAATTTATTTGTTTACATATAAGATTGAAATATATTTCATTCGTGAACACCAGCTATTCTATTTTCATTCGTGGCTACTCCACTCTTGAAAATATTGCATCTGGTGTTCACTCAGTGAAATATATTTCAATCTTACATGCACATCAAACAAATATCTTTTATATGAGCCGCATCACAACAAAACCAACATAGTGGGTTTGCGACCAGCATGGATCCAGACCAGCCTGTGCATCCGCGCAGTCTGATCAGGATCCATGCTGTTCGCTATCAGGTTCTCTACTTGTAATAGAGTTGGTAAGCGAACAGCATGGATCCTGGTCTGGATCCATGCTGGTCGCAAACCCATTATGTTGGTTTTGTCATGACACGGCTCATATCTCTCCTTTACAATAGACATAGATAAAGAGTCTTATAGTTATTTTCTCTCACACTGCTGATGGAATTATTAGTCTGTCTCTTGAAGAGAAATTAATCATTACTGGTAAGTTATCAAGGAAAATTTGCTCGTAATTCAAGATATGTTTTATTATATAACAACAGGAAGTAACAGATGTTGCCAGTTCACAGGTGAAAGCTCTGGAGATGCAGCATATATCGAAAGAGAAAGAAGTGAAATCTATGCGACAACAGTTGCTTGACTTCCAAGTACAAAGTGATGAAAAAACTATCATTGGTAACTTTATTTTGTAGTATTTTCTAGTTTGGTGTTTTAAAAGGGTTCCCGTGGCATTTTACTATCTTAAAACCATTTACTTTTACTTGCTGAGAAGTTTTGATTGAGAAAAGGACCATTTCATTTCATACTTTATTTGAGGAACCTAGCTTGAAGAATGTTGATGTTGAATTAAGATGAAAATAGGAAGTAGCAACTGGCATCATTCACCTTCTTTGAAAGTTAAGAGGGCACTATTACACCATATGAGTGTCTGTTAGACTTCTATATAGATGCTTTTTCATTATTTGTTAATGATATCTTACATAAACTTTGAACCCTTCTTCTAAACTCAGTAAGATTCACTTTATTTTACCACAGGGTTTCATAACAAGGATCATAATAATATGGTGTCCAGTTTTACAAATTAATATCAAAAGTAGAGACTAACAAAACTAGCTTAAATTATACAAGTAATTGTTGATCAAATATTTCAACTTACTTGAATATCAATTGAAATATATCCATCTTAAGGAGTTTTAGCAGTCACAATACCTTGAAGGCAATGTTAAGTCAACCAAGGCTTGGCTGCACAAAATTATCTGACTATATTTCATGCTACTGACTGTTAAATTTATAACTACCTTGGTATAGTAACAGATAATTCCAAAATCAAAGCATTGCAATTCCATTATACAAATATATCTATGAAAAGGTTTTATATGAATATATGTATTTTCTCAGGTAAGCTACATCGTCATATAGTACAGTTACAAGTGAGTGAAGGAACAGCTGTAAGAAAGCTGGAAGAGTCGAGGAAGAAGGTCACCAAACTAGAGGCAATGATCCTCCGCCTTGAACAGAAACTTGATGACAAAGAAAACACGATATTCCACAAGAGGAAAGAAGCACAGAACAAAGTCCAGTACCTGAAGAGAAATCTACATGTAAGTTGATTGCTATAAATAGAAATGTAGTTTTTGATATATTTCTGCCAAAATATGAAATGTGAGATGTTCTGTTACAAAGATATTTATGGTATTCGTTTTCGGTGACATTGTTAACAGGATAATTATAATGTTTTGGAATTTTTCATATTCTATGGTCACATAGACTTTGATTTGAAATGTTTCTTTGGAGAATGCTTTAGTTTATGCCTTTGCTTTATAAATAACCAAGATACATTTATAACTGTACATTGAAATTTGAAACTTTGTTTGAAAAATAGCTTTGAGAGAATTAACTTTACTTTTGTAGATAGTCTTTGGTCATAGACAGTTATGGCATTAATATTTTTTGTTGACATTCATTTTTACTCGGACTAGTCATATTAAATCAAATCTAAATAATATTCTAGATTAATATTTTGCTATCTAAAGATGACTATGTAAACTATGTAAGTGTAATATATATTTTAGATAGTGTATGTTTTGGTATGGTATAAAGATATAAAACTGATATTATTTTCTATAACTCTGTATTGTAGGATTTGAGATTACAGTTTGCTGGTGCTATTCCGCTGTCTAAACAAGAGAAATTCTCCAAGAATCTGATGCAGCTACAGCATGATAAGGTCCATCTACAGGATGAACTTAGACAGGTATGTCAACTTGATTTTTCTCAGAACACCGGCTTCAATGACACTTTGTCTAATTGATTAGTAGAGAAAAAAAAATTCTGCAAAAAATTCTGCAAGTCAGTGACTGGTCTATCTGCTTAGCTCAATAAGGAAAGCATTTACAATCTATGGGTAACTGGTTAGATCCTCCAACAATATTTAATCATGATAATTGATTTCTGAGTTTGAGTGGAAAGGTTATTTGTCACACACCATTAATTTAGAAATCATGTTGGATTAGTCTGTCTTAAATGTTTTTGAACAAGTGTGACATATGAAAAGCCTTCCCAATATACATCATTGTATGTTACTTGTATGAAAAATTTAAAAAAAGGAATGGCAACAAGTAACTGGTTAACCGAATACTTGATCGAACGTCCGAATATCTGTAACTAAATTGATGTTCGATTACTTGGAAAAAATTTCTAATTTCTAATTTTTTTTTGCAATTTAGAAAGATTGCATGGGATTGAACAACTTTGTTGCTAATGTCATTCGGCCTCTTACGATAAATGAATATGGTTACCTTAAATTGCGCATTTATTAAAACGTTAAATATAATGTTGTCGATTTAATTTTAATTAATCTGTTTATTGGTTATTCTAAGTTACCTCCCTTGCAGTCCTATTTATAGTTACGAATTCTATGAATTTAAATAGAAAATGAAAGTAGCATGCAGATGCTGTTGATATTGTGTTATAAAACATTGAAGATCATTTGAAATCATGAGTAACCAAGTACTCGATCGGAGAAATGATCGAGTACCCAAGTATAAGTTTTGGTATTTGTTGCCATCCCTAATTAAAATCATGAAAGTAAAGAGTAGATTTTGCTAAGACAATAACAGCATTTTAACAATGCAATAATAGAAAATTAAAGTAAATCTCTGCTTCAGTTCCTGTGCAAATTAAGCTATATCTTCTCTGTTGTTTTTTGCAATATTCATTATATTTTATCACTCTTAAAGTGTTTAACAAATTTTTAGACAACTTTTTAACAACTTTGATATTAGAAAAGGCCATCAATTCACCAAAGGTTTTCCTGTTGAAAAAATGTGTTAGTTAATGTTAAAAGAGGTTCTTACAATACAAATTAATGTTTCCAGGTAAAGAAAACAAAGGAAGATATGGAGGATAAGCTGGCAGCTCTAGAATTACAACACAAGGGTTTACAGGAGCTTATTATGACACTTAAAGATGGCCGTGGTGCTGCTAAGGTCAAGGAATGGCACGGGAAAATGGACACACTGAGATTAGAGGAATTAAAGCATAGAAGACATATAACTAAACTACAACAACAGGTAACTATGACTGCCTGATTCATTGTGTTGATAGGTTGACTGTGATCTTTTTCCTCTTCCATGAATAAATGGTTTAAACATATTTATTTAAGCTCTATTGTGAAACAAGTTGTTGCAATTTATATTGATCACTTTTGAGCCTGCTTCCTGGAACCAACCAGTACTGGTGAAATATAAAAAGACACGGTTGTGACCTGATTATGGATCAAACCCATGATCCTAGGTTAAGAGGCAGACACCTTAATCACTAGGCCACCGCTCCCCAAGAATAAATAGTGTCTTTGTTTTACAGATGAGCATGTAATTTTGTACTGTATGATAATTATTAACTGACTTCCTGGTTTGGGATTCAAATATATTTCAACCTAATTGTTAATTAATCTGACTTGGAATATCTAGATGTGTGTGTTAACTCAGAATAAGTCTTGCTATAGTCTAAAGTGTAGTCTGCTTAAATTTACTATTTCTGTATTGAAATAACTCAAATTTACAATTGAAAATTCTGAATGCTGTTAAAGGAAAGGGCTTGATTATGTTTCTTTCTTGTTTTATTGAAAATTAAGATCATGATTGTTAAGCAAATATATTTTATGAAGTATATCAATTAAACCCATTTAGAATTATTTCTTGTTGCAAAAAAAGTTAATATGAAAACATTTTGAGATCTAATTTATTTTCAATCTTAATGACTGTCAACTAGTATCAGAGTGCTTACATGTACTTGTCCAGAATATAAAGCTTTTTTTACACTAATACATGTACATTGTTTTTCTACTAAATACAGTATATTGTCAGTGTTATGTATGTTTTTATTACAGATCAGTTATCTAGAAGGCGTTATCAGAACCCATGAATCAGGAATAGCAGAATTAGAGGCAGACAATGTCAAACTTACTCAGGTAAGCTATGATACAAAATTAATGATCAAATTTGAGCCGTGTCATGACAAAACCAACAAAATGCGTTTGCGACCAGCATGGATCCAGACCAGCCTGCGCATCCGCGCAGTCTGATCAGGATCCATGCTGTTCGCTATCAGTTTCTCTACTTGTTATAGGGTTTGTAAGCAAACAGCATGGATTCTGATCAGACTGCGCAGATGCGCAGGCTGGTCTGGATCCCTGCTGGTCGCAGACCCATTATGTTGGTTTTGTCATGACACGGCTCATTTATTATCATTGGAATTACATGATCAGTAGGAAAGAAAATTCTTTTATACATTTTATTGTAACATTTTATTTATAAGAAATGATGTAATGAACTTTGGTGGTAATGGTAGAATAAACTTGACTAGTATTGGTAGAATGAATGTAGCTTTGTATTGGTAGGTTTTAAGGTGAATCGGTTGATAATGGATTGTGGGTAATATCATAAATAATTATGTTGATAGATAATAAGTATCATATATGACAACAAACCAGGAAAGAATTGTATAATGAAGGTGTTGGTAAGTGTGTGATACATGATTGATCTAATATTAATTATTTATACAGCAAATAATAAATTGTTATAGAACAAGTAAAGAATTATTTTTCATATAGTTTTTCATACTATAAAACCTAGAAGTCATTAACAATTTTGGTCAAGAAATATTTTGTAGGAATATCCAAAAAGAATCATTTCTTTTGTTTTTTTATCAATATGTGAAATAACTTATGGAAACTGTGTCCATTGTTGACCGAAATGAAATTTGATTTTATGCTTAAATAAAAGTAAGTTTAAATGTAGGTTTAAACAATTAGATTGAGGCAGGTGTGAATATTTTAATTTACAAGGATTCAATGATAAAGTAAGGTAGTTTGTAGGCAGGTTTTTAATGACCAAATATGCTTAAATTGTAATAGTAAAATGACTATAATGTATATAGTAGGTTGTAATGATAAAATAAACTTGATCATAATGCATAATAAATATTGTGAAATTTAGCTTAAGCAATGACTAAGGTAGTAGTGTTTAATGTTAAGTGTGGTTCTATTATAGATGGTATGTGAAGGCTTAATTAGTAAACACAAAAACACAAGCTTCATGTAAGCACCTCATGTGTACATGTTTACCATTGTACATGTTTTCTATTTTGGCGTTGAGGTGACAATAACAAACCTATGTTACCACAATAAAAATTGGCCAGCATAAAAAAATTCATTCATGCAGTTTGATGGCTCTGTGTGCAGAATTATTGATGATGAAAATATACAGGTGGAAATGAAGATTAAAATTAGTCAGTAGTTAAGAGACAGTAATAGAAGTAAAAATAAGTTCATTGAATACAGTATCATGTTTAATCAGTATTCCAAGAAGAAACAATGTTGATAATCTATTATTTTTGACAGGAAGAGTTGATGTTATTTCATGTTTAAAATTAAATTAAAAAAATGCCTATTTATAACAGTGTTGTTTTCCCCCGTGTTTTACACTGTCCGGTCTTTGTTTATTTAAAAAATATTTATAATAAATGTTTTATTTGTTTTATGGGTTGATAGGAACATGCTCGAACCGCTAGGCCAGCATCCCATTCTATGGTCTCTTAAGAAATACCATTACATTACGAGATTTTACATCCGGGAACATGCTCTAACCGCTAGGCCAGCATCCCATTCTATGGTCTCTTAAGAAATACCATTACGAGATTTTACATCCGGGAACATGCTCTAACCGCTAGGCCAGCATCCCATTCTATGGTCTCTTAAGAAATACCATTACGAGATTTTACATCCGGGAACATGCTCTAACCGCTAGGCCAGCATCCATTCTATGGTCTCTTAAGAAATACCATTACGAGATTTTACATCCGGGAACTTGCTCTAACCGCTAGGCCAGCATCCCATTATATGGTCTCTTAAGAAATAGCATTACGAGATTTTTACATCCGGAAACATGCTCTTACCGCTAGGTCAGCATCCCATTCTATGGTCTCTTAAGAAATAGCATTACGAGATTTTACATCCGGGAACATGCTCTAAACGCTAGGCCAGCATCCCATTCTATGGTCTCTTAAGAAATACCATTACGAGATTTTACATCCGGGAACATGCTCTAACCGCTAGGCCAGCATCGATCCTTCCCACGGTTTCGTTAAAAAATACTTGTACGAGATTGGAGCCCTAACCGCTAGGCCAGCATGCCTCTCCACGGTTTCGTTGAAAAAATACCAGTACGAGATTTTACATAAGGGAACATGCCCTAACCGCTAGGCCAGCATCCCTTTCCACGGTTACGCTGAAAAAAAATACCATTATCAGATTTTAAATCCGGTTTTGATATTCTTTACTAAAGACTTGGCTTTTGTAGATATTCTAGTTGGTGACCTGCGTCCTTTCATACATGTATGTACATGTATATTTACGAGCACAATACTATTCTCAGCGCATATTTCAAGTTTTTCACGGACATTTGACGCTGCATGGTACATGATAAAAACTATATAATTATACACAATATTAATGTATACATGCGAAATATGTTTGTGATTTTAATAAAGTATTTTCAATTGCTTGTGTGAAGCCACTTTCTCAAATTGAATATAGTCTTTTACAATAAGTGCCAGCTTGTGATAAGATGATTACTTTTCAAGATTTAAGTCACCCGTCACACGGATGACTGCAATCAATTAAGTCCGTGCCACAGTAATTAAAGTCTGTGCCCGTCATTATTTTGTCATTAAAATTTTATTTGATATGGATAACGTGGTACTTTTCATGAAAAATAAAATATCCAACATAATTATATATCTATTTTAGTAAAATTTGACTGAAAACCAGTAAACTGTTACTGGTTCTAACAAACCAAAATAGTTCCGAATGGAAAGTCCTCTATATAACATGGCAAAATAAATTGATTTGACTGAGTATGTTTATTGCAAACTGCATGCACGAGTTTCCGACACTTATTAGTCACATAGACGCAAGGTAACGCCCATGTTCTATAGCATTGTAGCAGAATTCAACATTTAAACATGAATTAACATGGTGAAGGAATCCGGGTCAGCTCGGCCCTAAAACATACTCGGCCCCGAGTCAGCTCGGCCCTATTACAACTCGGCACGGGTCAACTCGGCCCACTTTTAAAAATGGGTAAAGGACATCAAAGGACTCCTATTGTCACGGGCTATTATTATCAATCAATGTGTTTGTTAAAGATACCGATTAATTAGGTGATAATTATGATTGACTCATTCATTCAAATTTGATTAGTGACCACCTGCAATTAATTAGAAGATTATGCTATTAAGTAAACACGTTTTTAGCTCGACTATTCGATAAGAATAAGTAGAGCTATTGCAGTCACCCGAGCGTCGGCGTCGGCGTAACCACTTATGTTAAAGTTTTTGTAATAGTTCAAATATTTTCAAAGTCCATTGACATATGGCTTTGAAACTTTGCACACTTGTTCACCATCATGACCCCAACCTGTAGACAGGAGGAGGTAACTCTATCAAGCATTTTGACAGAATTATGCCCCTTTTTCGACTTAGAATTTACGTTAAAGTTTTTGTAATAGTTCAAATATTTTCAAAGTCCATTGACATATGGCTTTGAAACTTTGCACATTTGTTCACCATCATGACCCCAACCTGTAGACAGGAGGAGGTAACTCTATCAAGTATTTTGACAGAATTATGCCCCTTTTTCGACTTAGAATTTACGTTAAAGTTTTTGTAATAGTTCAAATATTTTCAAAGTCCATTGACATATGGCTATGAAACTTTGCACACTTGTTCACCATCATGACCCCAACCTGTAGACAGGAGGAGGTAACTCTATCAAGCATTTTGACAGAATTATGCCCCTTTTTCGACTTAGAATTTACGTTAAAGTTTTTGTAATAGTTCAAATATTTTCAAAGTCCATAGACATATGGCTTTGAAACTTTGCACACTTGTTCAACATCATGACCCCAACCTGTAGACAGCAGGAGGTAACTCTATTAAGCATTTTGACAGAATTATGCCCCTTTTTCGACTTAGAATTTACGTTAAAGTTTTTGTAATAGTTCAAATATTTTCAAAGTCCATTGACATATGGCTTTGAAACTTTGCACACTTGTTCAACATCATGACCCAAACCTGTAAACAGGAGGAGGTAACTCTATCAAGCATTTTGACAGAATTATGCCCCTTTTTCGACTTAGAATTTACGTTAAAGTTTTTGTAATAGTTCAAATATTTTCAAAGTCCATTGACATATGGCTTTGAAACTTTGCACACTTGTTCACCATCATGACCCCAACCTGTAAACAGGAGGAGGTAACTGTATCAGGCATTTTTTTTTACTATCAAGCACTTAGAATAGTCGAGCATGCTGTCCTACCGACAGCTCTTGTTGTTTCATATTTTTTTGAAAATTACTTTACAAACAAAATGCATCTAAGGAAACACATTTTTATATTCAATTCAATTCAATTCAATATTTTATTCGGCAAAAACATATAAATGTTCATCGCCAATATAACATATATACAATGGCGGTACAAATACAAAGAGAAAAGCATGAATTCATATTAATTAAATCAGTCGAATTCTTACAATAACAAAACAAAGATATACTATATATGATCTATAACATACATAAAATAAATCCACATTACACAGTCATATCATGCCTGATAGTTATCGCGCCAAAGATTAGCATTGTAAACGTATTTTGCAAGTTTATTAATAGTATTACTTTGTTGACAATTTAAAAGAGATTTGAATTTAAACAAATTTGGCCAATGACAATAATAATTAGGTAAAATATTAAGTCTAATCTGTCTGTAAAAAGGACATACTAAGAGGAAATGATACTCATTTTCTATACTATTCATATTACATTTCGTGCATATTCTTTGACTTCTATTAATGTTTCTATATCTCCCTTCTTCTATAGCTAAATTATGAGCAGAACACCGGAATCTAGACAAA